TGGATTTTCAGCTAGGGATGTACTTCCTGTTTCCGTCCAATGACCTTAAATACATAATTATTGCGTTAACAAATATTTTGACGATGTAAGAAATGCAGTGAGGACAGTTGTGCTTTGGGCGTCCTGCATCCACGCCAACGCCCCGAAACGATTTGATTCTTGGGTATGTATAAAGTAATCGTTAGTCCAAAAGGAAAGTAGATTTTGAGGGAAAACAAGAATGAAAGTAGGTATCTTATAGAGCTACGAAAAGGCAGGCAGGTAGGGTCACGTAATATTCTGGATTTTACGTTTTGGGTTGTTTTGCTCTGCGACGCTACTGTAAGCTAGAAACATTTGATGTCGAGCAAATTTGACGAAGTATAAATGACAAAAAACGTCTGATCCAAATTGTCAAGCAAGTTTGTATTTTTGAAACTTTGTTAGTTTTATTCTTCGGGACAATTTGCATTGGTTCCCGCCCAAAACGTAGTGACGCTAGATGGCGTTGTAAGGGAGGTAACTGCATAACCTTTTCAGCTACATTGCATTCAATATATTCTTTCAATGACATCTTGTTTTGAAAGGCACTGGGTAAACTTTGGATATTATTATACAAGCACACTTAGCCGGCCTACTGGTTAGTGAGCGTTTTATTGTGACCCTTTTTGATTTTTGATATTTTTTAAATTATGATTTATGCATGGAATTAGGAAGTCTTTATTTAGGCTAAGTATCCCCCCCTATTTCTCGCTCAGATTTCAATGGGATTGTCAAGTCCAGTACACTCTGCCGAGATTGAGCTATATTCACCTATAAATTATTCCGTCTTTGCGTATTGCAAGGTTATCCTCTCTTGTGAGCAGGTATCGATTGGTACGTCATTGGTTTGTGTGAGAAAATTACGTCATTTTCTCAAACATTGATCAGATGACGGTACTCTCACAAATAAATGACGTAACAATCAATACTTGCTCACAAGTGCAGATAACTCTGCAATACGAAAAGACGTAATAGCTGTATTGAGCAATATTTTCTCGAATTTCAATTAAATTAAAGCAAAGTCGCATAAAACAATAGGTTTATGGTCATGCTGACTACAAGAAGCATACATTTACAGTAGATGTTTATTCTCATTTGATTTCCGATTTGTTAACATCATTATTTTTTAAAAAGAATACTTATATTTAATGTTTTTTGTTGCTGCGTGACGTCATTCAAGCGAAAGCGTGTTTACAACACTGTTTATTTATAGGCATTTCAGTCAAATGTTCTTCTGTACTGACTGGTGCTTATCGGCATTTTGATAGATGTATAATAACTGAAGCCCTTACTAATGTGACGAATTTTCCTGCATAAACGTTAGGCCTAAGTAATGGTTATGGTTATGGTGCGTTGCCAAAATAATCCTTTATCCACGATAAGATTATTAATCTGTAATCCACGGTTGACAGGATTTCATTTAAAAACAGGTCCTGGCGTCGTCAGCCCTGATTAAGTACTGTATGTAACTGCACATTTTATTGTTTCATTCATTTATGACACTTTAACGCGTTAACAAAATAAGTACAACATTTCACGCATTAAATTTGGGAAGTATTTAATCGCGTTAAAATATTTTTGGTTATTTAACGCGTTAAAAGTATATATTTAACGTGATAGCATTTAACGCGTTAAAACTATTTTTAACGCGTTATTTTAGCTCGTTTTTGACATGAACTGCCTTTCATTACATTCTGCCGATATATGACCGATTCAGTTGGATTTGCAGACGATCAGAAAACATCTCGGAAAAGTGTATTTCATAACAACAAAAAAGTATAAGATTTATCCGTATATAAGATTGAATCTTTTCTGAAACTTATTGTTGTGAAAACAACATCGTTATATTCCAATTACCTGTTCTGCCCATGCCAGGTGACCGTGTCAGCGCGCAGATCTCCCCGTATTCGAGTTCGAGGTGTCGGTCAACGCTAACGTTACATTCTCATTAATTCCATGTGTTGGCATGGCTACATGGACAACATGAATGTATTAACACCTGGTCATAGTTTACCATTTTGATTGACAGGTGGAAATATATCCGTTGTAGCTTGGTCAATGATTTATCGAAAATTATCATACACAATGATGTGGTGACTTTCATGTCATTCCGACATATTTCTAGTTTTATTTAAGTCGAGCGCTCGACTTACTATCTCGAGCGCTCGACAAATTTGATCCGATTTGCTCATGGCTGCAACAGGTAGCTGATTTTGAAATGGACAGGGACGATATCATATGCGCGTACCATAAAATGGGACTCCGACAGAAAGAAATAGTGACTTTGTTACAAAGTCATGGATTGACTTTATCAGAAAGGCAGCTCCGAAGGGTTCTGCATCGTCACAACATGTTCCAGAGAAAGAAAGGTGGCAACAGCTACAATGTCAGTAACATTGGGTCATTGCCTAACGCATTTTAGATGTATCTTATCTGGACTATCAGTTAGTAGAGATAAATTAAGAATTCTGCTTCAGATCTTAGATCCAAAAGGTGTAGAATTGCGCTGGAGGCGACGACTAGTTCGTCGACGATATTATGCCGAATTACATCTGGCATATTGTCGTTTATGAGAAGTTAAAGCCTTATGGAATAGCAATAAATGGTTGTATAGATGGATTTTCAAGATATGTAGTATGGCTTCACGCGAACTTTACTTCGAGTAACCCAAAGATAGTTGGTGGTTATTTCACTAAAGCAGTAGAAGACCCTGGAGAGTGTCTAAAGTTCATGAAAGCCGACAGAGGAACGGAAAATTCCATCGTTCGGCAATTATTGTTTATTTTTCGGCCAATCTGATTAAAATCATCTGTTACATGTCTCCGCCTGAACATCTGAGTGTGCCGCGGTCAAGGTCACGTTCAGGTGCCCTTTAAATTCATGAATACTCATTAAATTTTGACCAATCATGCAGAGACCCTCTTTCAAAAGGGCGCTCGGAGTTGTAACAAATATGGCGGACATTGATGAGAATGATGCGAAAGTTCTGAAGTTATTTGAGATTGATCGTCTGAAACCCGAACAGAAAAAGATATTCGAAGCTTTATTAGAGAAGAAAGACTGTATGGCGGTGTTGACTACGCAATTACGTTTTCCTTGGCGTCGTAATAACGTCAGTTCCCGCTGCCATATTTGTTTTAGTCTCGTTCAACCAGACTCTTATCGCCGGCGCAAGCTACGCCGAATAGAGAGTGATCAAGCGTCTGGTTGAACGAGACTATATTTGTTTTGGAAAACTAATCTGTTCGATACCCCTCGCTATTTATGTATCAACCATGATATTCCGATTCGCTGGATGCCAGCGCGCCTCTGATTGGTTCATCTAAAGGTCACTTGAACGTGACCCTGACCGCGGCACATTCAGATGTCCAGGCGTAGTACGAAGTTAGCGAAGCCATGTAACATATGATTTTAATCAGATTGTTTCTCGGGGAAAGGATATTGATGGGAATTGCTTCATGTATGGACGAATTACAGCAAATCAAAGGATAGGAGTTTTTTAAGACGACAGCTAGTTGACGGAATTCTGGATTGGTTTCTTTCATGAACTCAACGAAACGGTTTCGGGGACAAAATAGAAAAAGAGCTTTTTCAATTTACATTCATGGATATTATCCAGGTATGTTTGTTGTGTACAGCTGTCTTAAATGAAATATGCGATCATAATCAATCAATCAATCATAGACAAAAAAAGTAACGTTCTATAGTTAACTCATCTAATTTTAGAAAACAACGTAATCATGTTAACAATCGCAAAAAACGCACTAAAGAAATTTTCTTTGCGGACATTTCAGATCGTTATTCTGGTTCGAACCCTAGACATTTTTGGAAAATTGTCCGCAGACTTTTAAAAACTTCTGACACCTCCAATACTATACCTCCACTCAGGAAATCTTGAAATGACAAATGAAGGTAAAGCTAATATCCTAAATGATTACTTTGTTTCTATCTCTTCTATTGACGATACTGACGTTGACGTACCAGACGTAGAGCTAAGGACGGACGCTACAATATTTGACATACAATTTCAATTAAACGACATTACCGACATTCATAAATCTTTACCTATCAACAAAGCTGTAGGCAGCGACACAATTAGTCATCATATGTTAAAAAATACTGCGGTCTCTATAGCCTTTCCTTTATCTCTAATATTTAGATCTTCTTTGGAAACTGGTATCTTTCCGAAAACAGTGGAAATTAGCTCTAGTAATGCCATTATTTAAAAAAAGGTGATAAAAAATATTCTGCAAATTATAGATCAATATCACTACTAAGTACTATCGGGAAAGTTTTCGAACGTTTGGTTGTTTAATACTTACATAATTATTTGCTTGAAAATTCACTGATATATAAATACCAATCTGGTTTTCAGCCTGGCCATTCTACTGTTCATCAAATTATTGTAATATATCATACATTATGTGAAAATATTGAAAAAATGCAATCATCCTGTCTAGTTTTTTTGTGATATTTCTAAAGTGTTCGATCGTGTGTGGCACAAGGGACTGAATGTGAAATTAGCAAACCATGGTATACGTGGGAAACTACTTGTCTGGTTAAATAACTATGTAAGTCGCCGAAAACAACAGGTCTTTGTAGGAAATAGTAAAACTTCCGTTAAAGCTACAAATGCAGGCGTTCCACAAGGTTCATTTTTAGGTCCTTTACTTTTTATTGTCTACATAAATGATATATCTGATAACCTTGAAAGTCTTTCAAAATTGTTTGCTGACGACACGTCTTTATTATGCTCTGAACCATCCCTTTTGGCTATCGAAACTAAAATTAGGAGTTATTTTGGACGTTAATTGTAAATGGAGTAGACATATAGAAAATATATGTAAAAATGTATCCAAGCAGGTAAATATATGTTAAATAGACAAACTTTATTCAAAATCTATAAATCGTACATTCTTCCCTTCTTAGAATATTGTTGTGAGGTTTGGGACGGGTGTTCTCTCGGTGACGCAGACAAATTGGAATAATCACTGGATTACCGTCTTATGCTAGTAGAATTTCTTTATATTCTGAAAGTGGGCTAGAACCACAATCAATTTTGTTAGATTAGATTAGATTAAAAAAAACACTATCAAATCGACGTTCTAGGAGGAAACTACAGCTATTCTTCAAAATTATTAACAAACTCACGCCCGATTATCTAACTTCTTTACTGCCCCCTTTAGTCTCAGAAAACTCACATTATCACCTCCGTGACGCAAATAATTACTGCATACCAAATTTTCGACTACAACTAACCAACTTATCATTTTTCCCATCTACGACTCGACTTTGGAACCAACTAGATCTTGAAATTAGAAATAGTGTTTCGAACGCAGTCTTTAAAAAATCTCTTCGAACCATGACAAAAGTTCCAAATTATTACTTGATCGGAAATCGGAAATCCAATATATTGCAAGCCAGACTGAGAAATAGATCTAGTACTTTGAATGATGATCTATTCCAATCTAATTTAATTGTCCATCGTCACTGTCAGTGCGGTCATCCCATTGAAGACTCATACCACTTCTTCTTTGTTTGTAATAATTATGCAGACCAAAGAATAAAAATGTACCGTGAATTGAATGAATTCATCCCGCTAGACCTGCAGTTACTATTACATTGTAGTAATAATTTATCTTTAGAAGACAACATTAAAGCACCCAGCAATATATTTCAGACTCTAATGTGTTTTTATTTATCTTTATTATTTAAATAGATAAACGTAATGATAAAAATCAGATTGTATTTTTGTAAAATTAAATGTTCTTGTATTCAATCTTGTTCGATGCTGACGGCAGAAGAGAAACGGATTTTCAAGAACGAATGGAACGACAAGGAGGAAGCAAACCAAGGCACGGGATGTGATGGACAATAGTTCAAGATGAAAGTTTTGAAATGTGTATTGTGTAAACTTCTGCCGTCGGTCTCGAAAAAGATTGTTTACATTTAGAAAAAAAAAATATATATATATATACTTAATCAAATTCTCTCTCTCCTCTCAATGTATATTTTAGATGCAAATAAAATATGTTTAAATCAAAACATTGTAATGTTGAGCCCATTCGTCCACACCACTAGATATTGACAAAGGGAATTTGTTTCATTATGAAGAGACCACTCAGCTGATTTATATATACATCTTGATCCTAAAATGATTATTTGGTCTGCATTAACGTATTTAAACCAACAAGTTTTGTACAGTTTTATTTTAATATCTTTTTATGACCGAAAGAAATTATTTTACCAACTCACTGACCATCCATAAACTGCAACGGTGTTAGATACGTTTTAACACAAAGAGCAAAGTATGTCGTATATCACAATAGATAAATAATAATTAAAAAATATCAGATTGTAGTTGAAAACAAGTAACTTGCGTTGAGAAGCCAATTAACAATGTTGAGCAGCCTTGTCAAACGTTACTTCGCCACAGATAACTTTTCTGACCACCTGTTCTTTTTAGTGCTTAAGTCAAACGCTTTAAAAAGATGCAACAAAAAATAATATTTTTGATATAATGATATAAATTCCATGATATTTGCGGTATCACAATGTCTTAAAATAAACTTTTTCGCTAATATTTTATTCCAAAAGCATTTTGAGGGCACAGAGAACAAACACTATTCATATTTAAGTAATATTTTATCAATGTAGAAGTCTTAAAAAATATGATAACTTTATATCCTAGCCAATAAAATATTCTGTAAATGCTACATGTAATAAATCATGAGTTGTATAAACGTGGTTAAAAAATGAACGAGCTTGATTAGTTGCACATTATATATGCACAAATAAATAATTACTCCATAAACACGAAAAAGAGGTCTTAGAATCGGATGCGGTAAAAGCATTCGTGTTTCGGTCCATGTCGTCACACAAGGGAGTATCTACATACTTTGCATTTGGTTACACTTCAATGTCAACGTCGTGTCGCCATAAGGATTATCTTCTACACAAATGCATGGTTTGAGCAAAGCAAGTCATCTGTAATAGTCGATCATCTAGCGTACCGTGTATACAGGTCCTAGATCTAATCATATCTACTCATTTGGACTATTAAAGGCAATCAATAGAATGGCAAATCACACCAGAGGTCCATTAGGATATGACCTATTAACATACTCTCCATCGTGAATTGAACATTAGAAACCATGGGATATTGTTCAAAGACTTCTTCGTTTCCATTTCTTGTAAAATCATCTATTGATCTAAAAAATATATATTTATTTAAAAACAGATTTTCTCTTCAACATTTCTTTTTTAACTTTCATGAATTAGAAAACATATTGTGATGTTGAGAAATCCGTAGTAAGAAACAAAGGAACATTGGCAGTAGATATTTGGATCTAGAAACAATGCATTTCTGGTAGAAGTTTGTTTTCATTACGTGAGAGTGCTGCCTTATTCTATAGTGATCCGGGGAACGATTTCGATGACATCCACCGTACATGACTCGCAAGGTGTCGCTATTTTCTTGCAGATGGCTTATTTTTCTGGTCGTGTTATCTCAGTATACCGATTCCTAGTAGTACGGCAATTACTGTGACCACTACTACCGCCAGGGAGATGATTATACATAGCAGAATGCTCATGCGCCTATTCTTCTTCCGGAACAACCAGTTGGCACGTTTGGCGTTCTCACGAAAGGCAAGGATCTCTTTTGACTACAACAAAAAAAATGGGAACTCTAACATACGTATAATTTTGCGAGGAGAGTCAATGAACGAGAATAGAAATGTCTTCCGAAAATGTATTCTTACAAATTTAAATATTCGAATTATTGTTCAATTAGTAAATGTGTTGGGAATTAGCATCACCGAGAACAAGTCGGAAATACAAAATCTCGGAGAATAGGTTTGGAATTAGTGTCGCCGAGAATTAGATGAGAATTAGTATCGCTTGGATAACTTGGGAATCGGTATCGCTTGAAAAAAGCAATAACTAGTATCACCGAAAAATTAGACGGAAATCAATACAATTAAAATAAAAAAGGGTATTATAGTATGTCCTCGGCCGGGTTTGCTCTTCATTGTTTATGCGATAAAATCATGGATCGGCATTGAGAAATCAACATAATACAATTGCATGAATTTTTTTCAACTAAAATGATTAAAAAAACTGTTGTTTCTTTTAAATTTTAAACCAGAACAAACGGCCACTGGGGAAATGCGACAGACAGACGGACCTGGTTGAGAATATACTTGCAGCACGCAAAACATATTAGCATCGCCGTGTGACGCATGTGTTGTTTTAAATCAAACGAAGCAGATGTTATGAAAATTGTGTTATTTTGATAGTTTTATTAACATTCTTACATTTTTTTCAACAAAGCACTCTAGTTGTTCTGTTTTTTGTGAACGTGCACCAACTTCCTTTATCCTTCCTTCTATGACCTTGTTCTTGATTAGGTTGACCTTTACTTCCACGTTTGCTTCGTCCTTCTGTACATCGTCTACCTGTTTATAACGAACCAAACAATCAGTTAACGTACATCATGATAACACTGAATTCTACCGCCGATAAACTTGGAACTAATACTGAGTTCTACGTCTAACGTACGTCATGATAACACTGAATTCTTTCACTGATAACCTTGGTACTAATACTGAGTTCTACGTAAAGTACATCACGATAACACTGAGTTCTACGTAAAGTACATCATGATAACACCGAATTCTACCACTGATAAACTTGGTACTAATTCTGAGTTCTACGTCTAACGTACATCATGAAAACACTGAATTCTACCGCCGATAAACTTGGAACTAAAACTGAGTTCTACGTCTAACGTACATCATGATAACACTAAATTCTCCCGCCGATAAACTTGGTACTAATACTGAGTTCTACGTGAAGTACATCATGATAACACTGAATTCTACCACTGATAGACTTGGTACTAAAACCGAGTTCTACGTCTAACGTACATCATGATAACACTGAATTCTACCACTGATAGACTTGGTACTAAAACCGAGTTCTACGTCTAACGTACATCATGATAACACTAAATTCTCCCGCCGATAAACTTGGTACTAATACTGAGGTGTACGTCTAACGTACATCATGAAAACACTGAATTCTCCCGCCGATAAACTTGGAACTAATACTGAGTTCTACGTCTAACGTACGTCATGATAACACTGAATTCTTTCACTGATAACCTTGGTACTAATACTGAGTTCTACGTAAAGTTCATCATGATAACACTGAATTCTACCACTGATAAACTAGGTACTAATACTGAGTTCTACGTAAAGTACATCAGGATAACACTGAATTCTACCACTGATAGACTTGGTACTAAAACCGAGTTCTACGTCTAACGTACATCATGAAAACACTGAATTCTACCGCCGATAAACTTGGAACTAATACTGAGTTCTACGTCTAACGTACGTCATGATAACACTGAATTCTTTCACTGATAAACTTGGTACTAATACTGAGTTCTTCGTAAAGTACATCATGATAACACTGAATTCTCCCGCCGATAAACTTGGAACTAATACTGAGTTCTACGTCTAACGTACATCATGAAAACACTGAATTCTACCGCCGATAAACTTGGAACTAAAACTGAGTTCTACGTCTAACGTACATCATGAAAACACTGAATTCTCCCGCCGATAAACTTGGTACTAATACTGAGTTCTACGTCAAGAACATCATGATAACACTGAATTCTACCACTGATAGACTTGGTACTAAAACCGAGTTCTACGTCTAACGTACATCATGAAAACACTGAATTCTCCCGCCGATAAACTTGGAACTAATACTGAGTTCTACGTCTAACGTACATCATGATAACACTGAATTCTTTCACTGATAAACTTGGTACTAATACTGAGTTCTACGTAAAGTACATCATGATAACACTGAATTCTACCACTGATAAACTTGGTATTAAAACCGAGTTCTACGTCTAACGTACATCATGATAACACTGAATTCTACCACTGATAAACTTGGGACTAATACGGAGTTCTACGTAAAGTACATCATGATAACACTGAATCCTACCGCCGATAAACTTGGTACTAATACTGAGGTGTACGTCTAACGTACATCATGAAAACACTGAATTCTACCGCCGATATTCTTATTTTATTGCGTGTACATAGTGACGGCATTTTATTCTATATTTATGTACACCCTGACGTATGATTCTATGTTTACGTACATCCTGACCTTTTATTTTATCTTTACGTTCATTCTGACATTTTATTCTATATTTACGTACCTCTTGGCGTATTATTCTATCTTTGCGTTCATCCTGATGACATTGTATTCTTTATTTACGTACATCATGACGTATTATTTATGAACATCCTGACGACATTTTATTTTAGCTATACGTACATCCTGACGACATTTTATTGTAGCTATACGTACATCCTGACGAAATTTAATTTTAGCTATACGTACATCCTGACGACATTTTATTTTAGCTGTACATGCATCCTGACGACATTTTATTGTAGTATGTACGTACATCCTGACGACATTTTATTGTAGTATTTACGTACGTCGATATCCTGGAACTTGTCTACAAGAGCAGCTAATTCCATCGTTACTGAGCCTGTGGACTCGTTGTCTGACGGTATTACCTCGTCTTCCGCCTGTAATGTGTCAGACGAGTACAGTTCCTGAAATACCACAAAATGTCAAACAAATTGTATAGAATTGCTTACTACAATTGGGTTAAGACGTTATCTGAAGTCTATAGACCAATATATATGCATATGATATTTAAGCGTTTTAACGGGGAAACCTATTATCATAACTGACTTGAAAGTCCCGCGTTTAAATCAATAGAACTACATACCATCTGTGTGTCCAGTACTGCCACAAACTCCGCATCAAGTTCGTGCGGTTCGGCAGACAAAAGGTCTCGTGAGCCAAATCCAGCCTGCCAAAACAGCGTCTTAACCTATCGGACACAATTGTCATGGATAAAATGCACATATAACCATATATAAATACATTGTATTTATGTACACAACGGCATTTTTGTAGTTAATTTATTGTACATAAAGACGAAAGAAATTATCACGAAGGAAAGAGATGGCGAGTATATTTCATTTTGAAGTGTATTAACTTGTATTAAGAAAGTTCTTCATCTTCCTTTACGAGCAACAGAACTCAAAAGATTGCGTGCATTTGCTGCTGTATGAGTCTGAAATTAACATTTAGTCTTCACACAATGGTAAACTTAGTCCGAGTTTCCTCTGGCCCTGACACCCGACTCAGACATTTTGACAGGAAGATACACCTGACATTTATCTGTCTAAATGTCTCAGTCTTGTGTCAGGACCAGAGGAAACACTACACACATTATATTGAAGATACACCTGACATTTATCTGTCTTAATGTCTCAGTCTTGTGTCAGGACCAGAGGAAACACAACACACATTATATTGAAGATACACCTGACATTTATCTGTCTAATTGTCTCAGTCTTGTGTCAGGACCAGAGGAAACACTACACACATTATATTGAAGATACTCCTGACATTTATCTGTCTAATTGTCTCAGTCTTGTGTCAGGACCAGAGGAAACACTACACAAATTATATTGAAGATACATCTGACATTTATCTGTCTAAATGTCTCAGTCTTGTCTCAGGACCAGAGGAAACACTACACACATTATATTGAAGACACACCTTTCATTTATCTGTCTAAATGTCTCAGTCTTGTGTCAGGACCAGAGGAAACACAACACACATTATATTGAAGATACTCCTGACATTTATCTGTCTAAATGTCTCAGTCTTGTCTCAGGACCAGAGGAAACACTACACACATTATATTGAAGATACTCCTGACATTTATCTGTCTAATTGTCTCAGTCTTGTGTCAGGACCAGAGGAAACACTACACACATTATATTGAAGACACACCTTTCATTTATCTGTCTAAATGTCTCAGTCTTGTATCAGGACCAGAGGAAACACTACACACATTATATTGAAGATACATCTGACATTTATCTGTCTAAATGTCTCAGTCTTGTGTCAGGACCAGAGGAAACACTACACACATTATATTGAAGATACACCTGATATTTATCTGTCTAAATGTCACAGTCTTGTGTCAGGACCAGAGGAAACACTACACACATTATATTGAAGATACACCTGATATTTATCTGTCTAAATGTCACAGTCTTGTGTCAGGACCAGAGGAAACTCTACACACATTATATTGATACTTTTATACCAATATAGTTCTGATATGATGTGAATGTGAGCACGAGGACGTCACATAATAATCCCATCTAGTATGTGAAAAATGTCACATATGGACGCAGCAATCAAAATTGGGTAACTTAGGCCATGGTATTGCTGTAATCTGGTACTGTTTAGACTCGATATAGTATAAAACCAATGTGTTATCATCAAGGGAGATATTGGATGAACGTAAGACACGTGATGATGAACGTTAGACACGTGATTGCACCTTTAACATTGGTTAATTGATACAATATGTCAAAAATGAAAAAACATGCACTTTTCATCTGAGCTGTTTCCTCCATCTTCACTAAATGAGAGTCCCGAAGAATTTGTGGTATCGTAAATGCCCATTGTGTCAGTGAAAATGATATCCCTAGAACAGCCTCATGTCATCTAAAAATGTGTTCCCTACGATTGTCCCATCTGATTTGAAGCGGAAGGAGAAGCTTAACATTTAAATTGATCCGACTGCGTCCATAACCGTATGTAAGATTTTTTTTCTGATGGAAACAGATTAACGGAAATTTTGACATGTAAAATATAAATAGGATACTGTACGGCCTATTACCCCGCCCTTCTAGTCAAGACATCTTATTTACACGTGGTTGAAACACAATCGACTTACTTACATGGGCCACAATTAAAGCTCTCACATTCTCACGTACATTACCTGAATGAGGAAGGCATAGGACTGCATCACTGTGACGTCAGCAGTGACTGTACATAAAAATGTGATGTCATCTTCCGTGATCGTGTAGTACACATAACTGGT